AGTCAGGACCATCACCCTACTAGTATCGAGGGCAACTTGGACCAAATAGCAGTGACAGGCTCCATGGCTGGGTAGTACCCAGCCCTAGTGGAAGCTGAAGCGGACAAACCCTGCCGTACAGGAACTTCGGACGCCAGGCTCAAGCAGTCTTCTACAAGCCCCAACTTGAATAGTCAGAGAGTCCTCCTGATAAGCTAGCACAAGCACCTAGGCAAGGCAGGCCGACGCCCACTGACACATCCTACTGTCCTTTGCCTAACTTACTCAAGGCTAGGCAAAACTCGGATTAAGCCGGAGTGGCTTATATCCTTACCCTACCCTTGAGTCTGAGCCAAGTATGAGCAGACACCCTGAGACAACCAAGGGGTTATATCTGAGCATCCGCAAGAACCACACCCTATGGCATCCTATCCAACCTACCTTCTCCCACTGAAACATGTGCTAGACCCCGCTCGGTGACTAGACCCCCCCAGACCAGATAGTATAGTGGCGTGCAGATGCGGCCACAAGCTGTGTGAGTGCTCGTAGGCTGTGTATACTAATGTGTGTTGATACCTGTAGGCCGCATGGTATGTAGTGAGATTTGTGTGCCGAGATGCTAGATATGTGCATCGCGTAGGCAGCATGCTATGTAGCGAGATGCCTGTTCCCAGAGGCTCACTATGTAGAGGACACTATGTGTCTGTATGTGTAGACTGCGTATTCGGTCCAGTGGACCATGTGTATGGTATGTGAAGGGATGACAGGCCAAGCTGGACAAGGACCCCCCCAAAGTGACCAACAGTAGCAAGCAACCCACCCGGTGTCAAGACCCAACATAACACCATGGAAGATCCATTGGGTGGTGTCTAGTCAGTGTCTGTAATAGCTTACCTGCATCAGCCCAAGGTGGTATGGAAGTGATTATGCTTTATGTAAACAAGTGGAACCCGCCACGGCGTAGCCGTGGCGCACAGCAACACTCGCTGATGGCGGATCATTTTTCTTTCATGTCTCTCTCTCTCTCTCTCTCT